TCCTTTTCTCTTTCTTCAATTTTCTTATAGGAGCGGGAGACTGTAAACCCCCCCTCCGGCTTGGTTCACAAACCTCTCACTCAGATGTCATACCCCCTTTTTAGTCTTTGTCTTTGAGTTCCCTTCCTGGCTCTGCAGAGATCTGCCCTTCCATCTCTCTGAGCCAGGTGAGTTCCATTTTCTCCTTTTCTTCTTGTTTTCTCCTTTTCTGGATTGTACTGAGAGATCTGCCCTTCCATCTCTCTGAGCCAGTAATAAAAGGCTCCCTGTGTTTGGTCTTAGAAAGGTTTTAGGCTCAATTGCCTGCTCTCCGTGCCATTTCACTGTCCACCTAGTGAAGGACACTCTCAGTCCTTACACTCTTCTCATTACATCAGGCACACTCCTTTACAGTATTTTGCTTCTCATTACATATAATAGGGGGCATCAAATATAGGCAAATCCACCATTATTTAATGGACTGGTTTTGAAAAAAACTACCATGTTTAAATCATCTTGGTTATCCATTTTACCACCTCAGAGATGCATTGGGGGGTATCAAATTTAAGAAATCCACCAATATTAGAAACCAGTCAATTATCCAAAAAAAGAACCACCAATGGGTCCACAATTAAGGGGTAGGATGAAAGAACTAACATGTTTTTAAAAAACGGTGGGTTTTTCAAAACCAGTCAATTAAAAATGGGTGGATTTGGTTATATTTGATACCCCCCCCTTTTTTTTTGAATAATTGACTGGTTTCCAATGGTGGATTTCTTATATTTGATACCCCCTAATATATTGCATATTTTTTTTCTCTACCACACTCTTTAACACCATCATGCTTACTCATATCCTTCATAGGATAACAATATTCCACTCATCCACAGTCCCTCAACGATTGGGATTGTTTTGTAAGGAATTGAGATCAAATACTTTATTGCAACTAATATCCAAAAGCTAATAGTAGTAAAGAACTTGAAACAATAAAGAATAAATGATTAGGAACAGAAGAGATAAAAAAATAGAACAATTAAGGCTAAGATTGAGATAGAGATTGTTCGTTCGGACCTAGGTACCTGTTTATACCTAGGTACCTGTTCATTTTTTTCAAGAAAACAGATACCATGTACCGCACCAGACACCTCCCAGGGGGTACCCAAGGTACCTGTTTCAGGTACCTCAGGTACCTCCCCTTTCGTTGTCACCTGGTTTCACTCCCAGAGTCCCAAGTCACTTTATTATTATTATTTTTTTCACATATATTGTAAAATATCACTCACAAGTCACTTTTTTGGCATTTTCTCATATCTGTTGTAATATATATACATCTAATTAGAAGAATCTTACTTTTCTATTTTTTTCATATTTATTGTAAAACATCAGTACCAAGTCACTTTTTTCATTTGTTCATATTTAATAATTTATTGCAAAGTTTAAACTATCTACAACTCATAACTAATTAGTAGAATCTTCATTGTTGTCCAAAACTATCACCTTCCTTTTTGATTTTTGGTTAGACTTCTTGTTATCCTTGAGTCCCTGTTTCCATGCAGCCAAGGTACCTTCTTGGAGTAGAAGGCCACCGTCATTTTGGTAGGGAAGTGAGGGGGTACCTGTAGAGGTACCTAGGTACCTGTTCAATTTTTCACAAAAATAGGTACCAAGTACCGCACCTGGCACCTCCTGGAGGGTGTGGGGCGGGTGCAAGGGGTACCCCCCAGGAGGTACCAGGTACCTGCAAAAAGTACGGACAAACGATCTCTAGATTGAGACGAAGAAGTAAAAGAAATCATTAAGTACCTTCAGATGTTCCAGTTTTCTTATCACTTGTGCGTCCCCTATGTGTTTTCTACCTCATAGATATTATTGTTCCACCACCCCCCCTCTCCCCAGATAAAATCTGTGCTTACATTCAGAACTCAGATATGAATGGGCTTGCCCTCTTGATTTGGAGCTTGGCCCCCAGAAATACCATTACAGTCAAACCTGTGATACTGCATACTTGTGTAACCACATAACCTCCCATACTGCATAGGGATCTCATTCCACTGTAGTTGGTGAGGGCCAAAATTAGTTTTTTTTTTTTTGGGTTAGACCGCATAACGGCATACCACATACCCTTTTTGGCCTAAAATTAGTGAATATATTTGCTATAACCACATAGTTTACCATCTGGTTTTATTTTTATTTTTTTTCCTCTTCAATCTCTCTAAATTTTATCTCAACTTAATGCCATTGCTCAACTCAAAATGATCCCCAGCTTTATCCAGCTCATTAAAGACAATCCGAATTCAATCAATCTTTCCTGTGTTGGCAACACGCTTTATGCACACAATCATGCCAAACAACTGAGTTTGAATGATGCAACCGCGGATTGTGAAGACGTAAAGCTCAGCACAATCAAGAATTATGGTTATAGCCTCTGATCATTTCCCTTTTTTTTCTGTTTCATCATATATAAATATGTAGTGTATATATTATTTTATTTTTTGCAAGAAAACTAAAAAAAAAAAAACATACAAGAAACCCCCTGAAAGCACATAATATCATTATAACCACATAGTTATGTGGTTATAGAGACAACCCTTCCTACCACATAACCCCCCAAACCGCATACATGATACCTTATCCATTCCACAGAGGGGTATGCGGTTTCAGGGGTTTAACTGTACATGACTTGACTTCTGCTTTATTCAAGCTCTCATATTCTCACTGCTTCCCCATGTCAATCATGAGGGACTGATCCAGAACAAACTCCTGTAAGTTATACATAGAAGTCAAAGAATCAGGCAGAAATTAGCCACACCTCTTTCTTCTTTTCTTAGTGTAACCTTCTCTCCTAATCATTAGTTTGGAGAGAGCAGCCTCATCAGCACTCACAGCCTTACCTCACACCACTATCAGTAGTGGAGGTGTGTCTCTTTCCTCTCAAAGCTCTGGTTCTGGTCAATCAACAGTTCCAGAAAACATGCCACAACATAACAACAAGAAATGAATTGGTATTTATATATATATATATTTATATACATATATACACACACTTATATATACATATATATATGTAAAATAATAAACAAATCCTCCTTCTCTAACCCTCCCACACATCAGAAACAAAAAGACAAAAACAAAAACATCTAAGAAACAAAAAACGACAATTCCAGACAACAACAACAAGCGGAGGACCCAGCAATGTCTTTAATAACCGATCAAAGATAAATAAAAAAATGCACATCATGGGTGACCTAACCAGTCCCAAACAAAGATAACAATAATCATAAAAAAGTAAAGGGCACAGCAACAACAACAACAACAGCAAGAAGAAGAAGAAAGGGAAAGAAAAAAAAAGGAAGGACGAGTGTACTGTAATATGTATTGATGCTTGGATGATTTTTTTTTGTTTTGGGGTATCAAAAAAAAATGGAGATAAATTAGATGATTTGAGAGCAAGTCCAAAGCGATTTAATCGTCCAACAAACTTAACGAGATGGGGAGAGAGAGAGAGAGAGAGGGAGGAAGAGGATTGGAGGCAGACGGAGAGGGAAAGAGAGGTAGGGGAGGAGAATAAACCAAGAAAGGGGAAAGAGAGAGAGAGAGAATAACGGGATTGCGATGAGAGGTTATTCGGATTTCTCGAGATCGTCGATTCTCTGTTTATTATGATCAAAGTCTGCCGATCGAGCCTGGATGACGAGGATCCTGCCTTCCATCTGGGAGGCGACGAGGGCGGAGGAGACGTCGCCGAGGCTTTTGCGGACATCCGAGGAGGCGACGATGCCGAGCCGATGAGCAAGGTCGACGGGCTCGCCGAGCTTATCGCCAGCGCGTTCCTTGAGATATTGACTGAGCTCGGAGGCATGACTCTCGCCTCCCTGACGCGAGCGGCCGGTGACGACCATCAGTTCGGGCCCAATGGGCTGCTGCGTTAACTCGCAAAAATGAACTGTTGGAATGGTATATGATGTTTGGCCGGTGTGATTGTTAAGGTTGTATGTTCCCGGGGCCCTAGTCTCCTCTGGCGCATAAAACAGGTTGGTCGCCATGCCAGATGGACTCATTGGTTTGCAGGAAGTACAGCTGAATACCATGATTATTTGCCTTGATGTTTATATACCTTATGAAGTATTCTGAAAGCGTTCTTTTATTTTTCTGAGATAGGAGTAGTGAGTGAGCTTGCGAAAAGTAGTTGTGAGTCGAGTGAAGCGGAGTTGGTGACTAAAAGTGACGTCATCGCCGTCCGTGTCGGATCTCGCAATAGTACCCTGCACAGCGAATCGGAGCGGATATCTCAGCCCGCACCGAGCTTCACCTCTTCCACTCCAGTCTTCAACCGGCATTGTTTAACCGCCCAGACCTGCCCAGACATTGCCAATATTGTCACACCAAGTTTTAGAATCTCCTCTCCACAGGACGGCGCGCAAAGGTTAAAATTCCTTAGTCTTCATGAGACCAGGTAATGTATGTTACGCCAGCGCTCGGATTTTCACTCCATGCTAATTGCTTGTTTCAGGTCAAGTAGAGCATGCTTTGGAGCAATGCGGGGAGCAGTAGAGTGTTCCATTAGGGGGGTTCACGATAGCTTTTCACCAGAAATTTTTTATTCTCCCACCAGAAAGGTTTTGAATGCTGCGCAGGTTAAAATTTTAGTCAATTTTTAACACACCAGAAAAGTCTCACCAGAACTGCTGCCATCGTGAACGTGTTGGCAATCGCTAAGTTCCACATCACCACTCCAGCACTTTGCAGATCACCCCCAATCAGCTGCAACAGAACACTAGAGATGGTGATGACCCACCAGTCATCACCATTTGGGGTCGGCCATCAATGGTGTTGACCAATCAGAACCAGTCATCACTCATCAATGGTGATGACCGGTTGGTCATTGATAGAGTTGACCGGTCTATCATCAATGGTGAGGTCAGCCATTGAATCGGTCTTCAATGGTGATGATCGGTCACTCATCAATGGCGATGACTGTCACTCATCAATGGTGATGACCGTCACTCATCAATGGTGATGACTGGTCACTCATCAACTGTGGTTTACTCATCAATGGTGATGACCGGTTGACCGGTCACTCATTGATGGTGATGACCGGTCACTCATCGATGGTGATGACTAGTGTGATGACCGGTTGGTCATTGATGGAGTTGACCTGTCCGTTCTGACCGGTCATCACCATTTTGGGTCGGCCATTGATGGTGTTGACTGGTCAGAACCGGTCCTCAATGGGATGACCAGTTGGTGATTGATGGAGTCAACCGGTCCGGATGAAGATGGCAAGTCGGTCATTGATGGATGGGATGGTGATGATTGATGGTTGTACACTATTGATGACCAATATTCATGCTAGTGAGTATGCCCATTGGTTGATGACCAGCAGGATTTATGGATGCTGGTCATTGATCTTGTCATGCTTTTTAGGCTAAATTTTAGGCTAAAAACATGACCAGCAAGAATTTTTTTAAGGGGGACCATAAGCCAAAAAAGCTATCGTGAACCCCCCTATTACATAAAGAGTTGAAGTAGAGATGATGTCTGGTTGAGAAGGTTGTAAAAGAGGTTGAAACCATTTGTGTTGTTGCTTATCTTATATGGGAACTACGGTAGTTATAACGAAGCATACCAGCGTTGCTGTTCAGTCCTACCGGGGACGCATGTGGTTCAATACTCCAACCAAACGGCTTTGATAATCGGCAGCGCAGTTATGTTCCCCCCACCCCAGGAATAACCTACAGGAAATTAATGTCCATGATCTAAGCCTTTTGGAGTCCCAATCTCAGGAAGTCTTGGCATAGTCATGAAGGCATTTTTTCAAATAATAGCAGTTTTTCCAGCTCACATCCTCTTGCTTTTGGTCAAGTCTGGATCCACGGCGACTGAGCTATCTGCAGCACACCAGACAGGCCTTTGGAAGAATAGAAATAGGTTGAGTCGTTCCACTGGATATTACAGATGTTGCTCTAGTACTTGGCATTGTGATGAAACCTGATAGAGTATACGAGCTATCTCGTGAACTGGCGTCTGATACTTCGGACAACGCTGCTGACCCATGCTCCACAAGCTACCAATCGTTCAAGCTTGAAGCAACGCAGCCCATTCATTGTAGTCGTACCTCTGGATTTAGCACAGCAGCTGGTTTGTGTCGCTTTTTGCGCCCTTTCTCTAGTCTCAGGGTTCTCATGCTTGACAGAAAACGGTTTGTAGATGATGGAAACAATCAATTTTCTTCCACTCATGCTGGCTACATTGGCAATGGATTGAGGCTATCGAGGGACCCACACCTGTTTCATGATTTCAATCCGGACTTCTGGCGGCGGATTAAAGCAAATGAAAATGATTTTACAAGTGATTAGTTTTTGAAGAAATTTTAACCAAAGAAGGGAGAATTCTTGGAGGAGATTTTTGACAACAAACATTAATTTTGTTGGAACGGCTCAGAGGGTCGAAAAAAGAGGGAGGGAACCGATGATATTTTACTTAGCAGAGACTAGTTGTTAAGTAGTCTACATACAAGATGTTCAACATGTGGTTTTGAGAGGAAATTGAATATAGAAATGAATAACAGTTTGAAACATGAATGAAACATTGACAGGAGCAAATTCTTGTTGATAAAGACTAGACCCAGGTTCGAAGACTACGGGGATTTCAGCACTAGACAAAAAGATAAGATGCCACTCAGACAAGGACAATACATACTCAACACATGAATATTAATTTGTATAAACATTAACAAATGAGGAAAAGGTTTTTAGGAAGGAGAAGAAAGAGACAGAATTTCAACAGTTTTTCTCAATTTCCTCTTGCAAGAGCGGTGCAAACCAAATTATGTTGAAATTTGACTTGGAACGGCATTCCCAACCACCGTCGTTTCAGGGGTGCTTGGGGAGGGGACATCTTGCTATCAAGAGGAAGATTCAAGTTATTTTACAAAGATAAAGAATGATAATAAGAGAAATTTGTTTGAATTTTCAGGCTCTGTCCATGAAAGTGAGAAAAAGGAATGCACATCTTCCAATTAATGCAAAATAAGAATGATTTTGAAATGGACTCTGGAGTGCTGCTCACTTAACAAAGAGACGGTATAAATAGTGATGAAACTCATTTTATTTTCCAGATGCCACATCATAGCCCAAATTTTCCTTGAGCACTTTACAGCCCAAGAGAAAAAGGCAAAAGTTTTCACATCTGAGTCAAAACTTAGGATCTCCAGTTATATCTATTGGAAATAAACATGGGACAGGATTGAGTTAGTCTTTTCATGTTGACATACTCTCATCTGCATTTTACCCAATTCATTCTACTAGTACAATGCAGTATATAATTGGAGGCTAATCTTCTACAGGAGCTCCATCTAATGAGACCAAATCAACAGGTATCTCTTCCTTACCAAAGGTAGACAACAATAACTTCAAATTCTGGCATGCAATGTTGGATTATGATTGCATACCAGATTGCCAAGATCAAGAGAGTGACAAAGTTTAGCCCCATTCAAAAAATCCTCTGAAACTGAATGAATTATCATTATCTTGTGAAGCTAAAAGCTAATATATCCCCTTCCTTTGGCATCACCTGTCTTATGATAAACCTCCATTTCCATTTTTTGAATGCTATTCTGCTTGAAGCTTCTCATGTGGAAAAAAAGTGTTTTCAAAAGGGAGACAGTATCCAAATACACAAATCACAATCTAGCACCAGGAATAGTGCAACTCATCACAATACCATTGTTTCAGTGAAAAGTGACCCAAGCAACAATATTTTGTTGAATTTTAGTGATAAATTTCAATGATGGGCCAGCTACACTAACCTTATTGTTAGTGTAGCTAAACATTTAGTGTAGTGTTAGCGCAATTCTTCAATTCTGCACTAACACTACACCTGCAGGGTGCCAAAGCTTGTTAGCCTTTAGCGTAGTGTTAGTGTGATTCTGCGCATCTGCACTAACACTACACACATGGGGCACAAAAAAGCACCCGCTGTGCTGCGCTAAAGCACCTTTTAGAGGCTTTGTGGCCATTTTTGCCCCTAAAAGTGCTGTAGCGTAGTGTAACACATCGTAGTGGCAATAGTGGTGCACTAACACTACCCAAAAAAGGTTTGCTGTTAGCACTGCTAAAGCGTAGCAGGTGGTAGGGCAGGCTAACACTACACAAAAAACAGTGCTGCTACTGCTGCTACACTAACACTAAAAGGCCCTTTAGCGTAGCGTAGCACAGCAGCCCACCAGTGTGATAATCCTTCTACCTTGGGTCAATCTAATTTTGAATCAGAGCAAAGTAAACTGAATTCAGTTAACAATCACAAAAATAAACTCATTCCTGAATCAATGGAGTCTGAAATAAAACCTGGAATTAATAGGCTATATTAAATGAGTCATGTGGATAAAATTTGGGCTTGGATTTTTACATCATCAGTATATAGTGCTAATCCAGCTGATCAGGATTTGAAAATTTTCCACCATGAATTAACAAGGAAATTCAACTCTGAAATCAGCTCAAAAATGATAAAAATTCCAGAAAATGAGGCAAAAGATCAAAAAATTAGTGATATTTTTCATGGTGATGTAGAGAGAATTTTTTTCAATTTGATGACATCCTATGGTTTATCAGCATAAGGTTAACTCATATCCTTGGAATTAAGAATCCAGAAGAGTATGTGAAAGAGCATCTATTGATTTACAAGGGGATTTTAGATCTCTTCCAAAACCAAATAGATTTCCCTATAAGATCAGTCCCAAACATGGGAAGTATGAAAAAATATTGATACAAAAACTTCTTTGAATTTTTCCACTTCAGCACTTCTTTCATTGAATCCTGATAATTTGGTTTACTCGTTTCATAGAAAAATCAAAATAACCAATTAGAACCATACAAAAAGATTTTCTGGGTCTGTTTCTGGACTTAAGTTACTCTTGACAAAATCTGTTATTATTCTGTGATCCTCTTACTACAAGAAAGAAAACACAGAAAAGTGGTATATTCTATTTGGTGATGATTTGGATTTTTTGACACATGTAGCAAAAAGTTCAAAAAAATATGTCAAT